CCAAAATGTAGCCTACACGTTTTTATTGCATTTGGGTGATTTAGAAATCAAACCTGGGTTTCAATTGCATTGTCACTGCGTTTCTACCCAGAAGTCAATACAGCTCTTACTGCTAAATCTATGATCAAACACATCTGTCGGTAGATTGGGGGTAATGTGGGCACGGAGGTCATCTCAGCACGCAGCACAGGCCTAGATCCACATCACAAGAATGCATATTTATTACCCAAATGAATGAATCAAATTCTTATCGGGAATTAAAAATAGTTTCCAGGACATGAGGCCGAAATCTAAGCGCACGCTTCAATTCTCAGTTCCCTCGGTAGCATTCAAGTTTTATACCAGAATAGAAAAAATGAAGAATTGAACAAGTTGAGAAACAATCAGCAAGCCTGATTTCCAACCCCAGATCTGCCACCGACTTTGTGTAACCTTGGCCTCTGGCAAAGTCGTCCTACCTAGATTAAGAAAAACTTGTTCTAGACGCTACCTGCTTTTCACTCCAGTGTGGGAACCATGATGGTGACACAGACGTTCGCTGGCTTACTCGCTTGGGTTAAGGCAATCCTGCTTATTGTCTGCTTTGATCTAATGCTTCCTCAGGAACCTGGCCATCCCTCCTCTCCTTTCGAATATTCTGTGATCTGCAGCAGAGCCCCAGCATGGGTGTCCACAGACTCCCATTTGACTAGCCCACTGCAAACTGGCCCCAGCACGCGGCCTCCAAAGCACTCCCCCTTTCTTTGTCAAGTTTTCGGCGGCAGAAGCCCACTGAGACACACCCAGGCTTGTTGCAACCGTCAACATGTCAGGCCAACCTGCTTTTGGCAAAGCACGACCACCGACCTCTCTGTTCTGCCCCTCGGTCCTGCTCTGCGCATTTTCAGCACGTGGAAAGGCCTTTTCCCCATAAGCCGGACCCCTGAGCTGCGGCACAAGACCAGGTCCTCTCCCGGGTTCTCGCCTTCATCAACGGATTTGGTGTCTATTTACCTAACATGTGCTCTGTATGCTGTACGCTGTACACTGCGAGCTCCACAGATGGGCCAGGGGTTGCTCCTGCAGTCTGGTGGGCAGGATGGATAAATGCAGAGAATTTCCGTACAGACAGGCAATTGCTGTTCCCACACATATTTCTCATACAAACAAGCCATTTCTCCAGGCATCGGCCTGCTAGCAGCGATGACGTGGAAGGCTCTCTCCTGCTTTGCGTTCTGCCAAGAAAGAACTGTCACCAAGGCCACCTGGCCTTCACCCAGCACTTCAGTGACACAGCTTACTTTATTGTCTTCCAGCTCTCTCTCCACACGAATACCCCCAGAGGCCAGACCAGTCCCACTGCCCTGCTCCAAATATGTCCTGCTCCAGGGTCCCTCCTCGGGTCCCCAGGGCTGTGCGCTGAGTTGAGGGTCCAGTGGCTTCTGATTCTTCCTAATGGGGAGTTCCCTCCCTGGCGGACCCACAGGGAGGGAGCCACTGACTTCCTTTTCCTGTCCCTGTTCTAAAGGAACGTTCACAAACCCTGCCCCTCCCGCTGAAGCGTCCCCTTGCCCAGCCTCTGTCCGTAGAGTTCACACCTGATTAGCCCTTGTCGCTGCCGGGCTGAAGAGTTCGGACACAGCACCTGCTTTTTAAAACTTAGTTTCTCTGTATGGTGTCAGATGGGTCCTGGATTTATTGGGGTGGTCCCTTCGTAAGGTATATACATAAATGTCTAATTACTATATTGTATCCCTGAATCTACCATAATATTGTATGTCAACTGCAATTGAAAAATTGAAA